AAAATGTACCTGTAGTCTCCATTGTAGGAACATTTATAGCTTGTTCCACTACTTTAAGTTCCTAACCATGCTATTGGGTAGCGAAAAACAACAATAATGGAGACCGTAGGCAGGATGCAAGATCCTGAAGCCTTTCTGTACACCGGCAAGGATCTGAATTGCAGCTACTCTCTGTCGAACAGTGGCCCTTCATAACTCCAGCGATTTTGCATGCTGAGGCATCTTTTCCTGGGACATGATGGACCAAATTTCTGGATGGCCAAATGAGAGCGCATCATCCATGGGAGTTTTGCCTTGTTTGTTTAGGATGAACGGATCTGCGCCCCCTTGAATCAGCAAACGTGCGCTCTCCCTGCGTCCCCAGGCGGCTGCATAGTGCAGCGGTGTATCTCCGTCCCCATTCCCCACATCCAGGCATGGTATTTTTCTCGTCAAGACAAAGAAAGAGACAAGCTCGTCGTGTTCTTGTCGCACTGCTAAATGCAGTGCCGTCTGCCCAAAATCATTTCGCAAACAAAGGAACTCGTCTGTAACTTGCTTGAAGAATGACGACATATGGTGCCTTTCAGGAGGTACCGAGAAAGTCTTCCCACTCGCTGCTTGGATAGGCCACCCATATGCTACGTGATGCGCATCAGTCCAGCCAAGGTCGTTGATGCGGCTTGGATCTGCCAATACCTAGAAGCATCAAAAACGTGGACTGGGACCCTAACTACTAGTCACTTTAGTGAAGCCCTAAAGGCAACCCCAGAAATCAGCAAGGGATCAAAAGCAGCCTCTTTGCTGGCCATCGCGATAACGAGCGCGGATGTCGCTAGTAAAACGATGGCGTGCGGCATTCGGAAGTGGCAGCAGCCGGATGTGTGTCAATGTTTTCCTGTATTTATTTCATATTGCTAAGTTACATAATGTTTACATGAACAACATATACACAATATACAATCAAAAAACCTATATTTCGGTAATGTTTCTACTTTCTGAGACCTACACTAACAAAGGAGTTGAAGCTGCTCCTATGGAAAGCGACAGCGGTGGCGATCAGCGCGATTGCTCATGCGCGTTTCCAGGGCACAACATGCCAAGAAGAGGCACACACGTCCCCAAACCAAAGCCTTAACCCCAAATAACCTACCTTTTTAAGGACATATAAAAAGAAATCATAATAAGGAACCCTAAAAAGGTAGGTTCTTTGGGGTGGAGCTGGGTCTTAAAGTGCAGGGACCTAGAAGCCAGGGCCGGGGAACACATGCAGTTTGGGTGCTGCCCGCATACAGCACAAGTCTATAATGAGGGCGTTTGGGTTTAGGGTTTAGGGTTATAGGGGTTTAGGGTTCAGGGTTTAGGGCATCGCATACCTATATGATCAGTTAGGCATTTCTAGCTGCTAGCGAGTGGGGGTAGTACCCAATCACAAGTAGCATGCCCAAACACCCTGTTCGAAGTATTAACACCCCAACCCTAAGGGTCCATGTACTCATACAGTATATACATTGGCCTTAATGTAGTCCCTATATAGGTACTTTAAGGCCCATGTATATGCTACATGAGCACATGGACCCTTAGGGCAACAGTATATGCCTCCAACTTCTGCCCTTGGAAGCTATCTCAGCCTCAGGCAGATAGTGAGAAGCCAAGGCAGCTTCCAACGCTGCCTTCAAAAGGGAATGGTTTAGGGCTTATACTGGTCTTGAGTTTAGATTTTCGGGTGTAGAGTACAATATAGGCTTTCGCGATTAAGGTCAGCGGGCTTTCAGCCTTCAACTGTGGTGAGAATCATGTTGCTACTGCAGGTCCTGCTGCTAGAGACTGTGGCGTCCGAGTACTAAGCAGCACATCAGGAATCAATTGAATCAATACGCTTCCTGGCTATGACAAGGACGTGGCTGCCCGAGAAGTAGACCCACTCACTTTGCTGCAGATAAGCAGGAAGGATCCCTAAACCTAGCAGAACTGCCGGAGCGGTAAAGAAATCACACGTAAGGATCATTTGTGGATTCTATTTTGCACCAGGACTCCAGACAGAGGTCTCCTGTCTGTCGGAACCCTTGCAGGATTTTTTCAAGGAGCCTTTATCTGAACCCTGAAAAAGGGGAACAGACCGAACTTCCTCAGTTTGCCAAGCTGCGATGGTGGTCTCCTTGCGCCGCATACACGCCAGCAAGGCGTGTGTCGCCGATCCTGTAGAAAACTCGGCTGAGGGCACTACAGCGTAAGGGTACTGCAATGGGTCCTATGCTAAGGGTGTCTACAGCGATGACTACAAGGGTCCTATATAAAGGTAGAAAACCTGGCCGTGGGCTTACAGGGACAAGGCAGCTACTACCTATTGTAGTACATACTGACCTACTGGCTCCTACCTACTTCCTAGAACCAACACCTCTATTACCACTACACCGCGTCCTCCTCCTCCTACTGCTGCTGCTACTACTGCTACTACTACTACTACTACTACTACTACCACTACCACCCTAAAGCCCGTAACCCCTCATGTTCCCATCTACATCTCAGACCCTAAAACTATATATATATATATACACACACACATACATACGGCTACTGTAAGGGCTCTTAACAATAAGAAAACGCTTGATGGGGCTCTATACTCAGGCTTATTCAGGAACCTTGAAGACTCCTGTTATTTGACATGTTTTGAAGGCCCTAGATCATATCCAGTAAAATTGTTTTAGGCCGCATAACACCCTCATACAACTCTAAACCCTAAGCACACAAAGACCTTAATTAGAGTAGTGTAGGGGCCTCAGTTTTATTTTAATATGGCTCTGGTGCATTTTTTACTATACTAATAACAAGGAACCCCTCAAAATCATATAGGTAATTATGGAGGTCCCTGGTTGAATCGTATACATCAAGGGCTTGTGGGTGCACTACCAGGCCTTGTGGCTGCAGCAAGGCTTTCAGCAACGCAGCCAGGGCCGGTAAGGCATCCTCCAGCATGCGTTTTACCCAAAGACTCCAAACCCCTTAATTAAGGAATATACCTTAAATCCGATTAGGGTTCCTATTCTAATTTAAGATATATTCCTTAATTAAGGGGTTTTGGAGTCTCTGGGCGTTTTAGGTTTAGGGTTTGGCACTACTTAGGGGTTTAGGGTGTAGGGTTTTAGGTTTAGGGTTCATTGGGGATTGTTGGGTGTCAACAAGACTTTCCATTCCTGCTGTCATAGGGGACTTTTGTAGAAGCGGGGATGATTTGCAATTAAGTATTCCGACCTCTGTATCTGCCTGACAGCCCCAAAGGGTCCAAGTACTAGTTTTTTTTTTCATTCGCAGCGTTGGAGTCCATGTCGGACGCACACCTAGCAACTGAATTCGAAAAGGGTGAAACCAATCAAGGCGAGTATATGCGGGAGGTCTGCACAGCGAACCCGCAGCACTCTAGCCAGAAAGTCGCGATCCCCAAAGCATGCCTAACGCCCGGACAGGAAATGACGAAAGGCTGTTGGGCGGAAATCGCAATGGCCTCCGCAATCACCCGACACGCGCCTTGAATCCAGCAGGCGTAGGCCGCGGCGTCGGAAACGGTGATACCCCCGGGTTGGGTAAGGGAGAGCCGGGTAGGAGGAGGCGGAGGTAGCTGGAAGTATGCCGGCTCCCCTGTAGACACAAAGGCCCTAGGTGGCACTTGGGGCCAGGAGGGTAAGGTGTCAGCGGGACAATCACGCTTGGGCGGGGGTGGCTGAATACTTTCGCAGAACACAGCAGGGTCAAGGAGCAAAAGCAGATCATCCGCGCTGTTCCTAGCCCAGGTCTGCGCCGTCTCCTGTCTCGGCCACTCATCGACAGTACGCCGGATAGTGGCCAGAGGGGCCACATGGTCAGAAACACACTCCCACAAATCCGACTCTGGATCAGTAAAGGCTAACAGCGCCTCCAACAAGGGGGTGCAGAACTCCTCGCTAGGGCACTGGGAGTGCGCTTCACTGAATGTCCCTGGGAAATTGGCCGGGGGGGCTTGCTCATGACCGCACTTAGGGACATCACCGCTGGGCTGGAAAGAACCCCAGCGACGACGGCAGTCGTGCGCAGTTATCAGATGTCTTTTAAGGCGCCCCTCAGACGCATAAATGCGTCCGCATCCTGTACACAGCCTGCCTTGGCCGATCAGGAAAGCCTGCGACCGATAACCGTGCAATCTAGCTGCATGTCCAGACCAGCTTACTTTTGACATGAAGGCGCGTTTACATGGTATGCAAGCCTCAGTACACTGGTCCAGTCGGGCACTCCCAATGATAGGCGCCCCGCCAGACATACCACGATGCAGGCCGTCCAATGCAGCAACCATGGTGTGACGCGCTTGTTCTAGCGCAATCGCCCTTTTGACAAGGCCTTTGAAGCGCCCAGGGCGTTGACACATAATCTCTGCCCAGGTATTCCAGCCTTGTGACGGTTCCGGTAGCCCAGCCTGCTCTCCAACATGGGAGTAGAGCCACCGGAACGCCTCGGTGAGCGCATCGGCGTATGGACGGTCGGCACGGATCAAGGCCCACAGCGCGTCTGGTGCGCACCGCATGGCCTGTGCGAGATAGAGGAGACGGTGTCGGCGCAGAATATTGGCAGGACTGGGGAGGCCGACAAGGGCCAAGCAGGTATGAAAGGACACGTCCTGCTCCGACTCCCTGCCTAATCCTAGTAGTGGCCGGTATAAGCGCCACACGCACCCAGCAAATGACTTGTACTCCCCGGCAGAAAGCGGAGGCCATGAGCCGCAGCCATACACAAGCTTAGGCAGTACGGATGCTTGTAGTATAAAAGCTTTACGGGCCACAGCGATCTTCCTACACCTGTACACCTTGCGGCGGCCTTCGGCGAAAGCCGCATACGCCTGTCCAGCACGGTAGGCAATTTCAGCTCGCAGGCCTCCCCGAGGGGACTGAACAGCACCCAAGTGCCGGTATGTTGCGACAAGGGGGACTAGGGCCGCTCCAGTCCCCTCCAGGAGTACCCTGAGCTTACCCTCCTCCTTGCGTGCTCCGAAGAGGCGCTGTTTGAGCCGGCGCGACCCGGGGTGGCCAAGATCGCTGTCTTTCGCTCCCCAAAAGTCAGGGAGAATCCATGCTCACGAAAAGCGTCGACTAAGCACCCCGTCTCCAGGGCGATTGCTGTATCGGCCGAACTGGGGCATTCGCAAAGCCTCATGGATGCAAGGTCATCAGCCCAAACTACATCGTCTATCTCTATATGGCTACTTCCTTCAGCGCAGGGTGCTAGCGTCCGACAGCCGTCCCACGGAAGCTTCGGCGGTGCGGTATGATGATGTAGCTCATCACGCAATTGATTACGCCTATCTAAGACCCTTTGCATAACCGTGGCAAACAAGATGTCCGCCCAGCTGGAGCCCGGGCGGGTTCCCCTGTCAGTAGCGACAGCCACATGGTCGCCCCGGATGAGGAAGAACGTTCCACGCGTAATACAATGTGACACGGCCTCTGTCCAGGTGTCCGCCCCGGCTCGCCGGAAGGCCGTCAAGGCAGCGGCGTGTTCCTTTAACCTCATCAAGTCATCGGGTGACAGCTCAAGGTTCGCAAGGGCCTTATCAGGGGGCGCTCCTCCACTGTTGCCGGGGGCGGCGGCAATGAGCTCACGGACAGTGGAGTAGTAGGCCGCGGTGATATCCGCGAACAGCACAAAACTACTCTTTTTACTATTGGAGGCCCATCGTTGGAAGGCACGGACTATATGGGACCCAAACACTACGTTGCCCCCTGGGCGACTCCCCAATTGGAGCGGGGGGGCGGAGGAGTGGTAAAGCTCGAGCGCTCTTGGGCGTAGGGCTTGGTGTAGCGCTTTAGCCCAAGCATTGAGCAGCAAAATAGCTGGATACGAGCTGCACTCCTGTTGCGAGCCGCGGCCCTTCCAAAAGAAGACGGCAACCCCCGCCTTATGCCCTACTGCTTCTGCTCCACGAAAGACGTATTTGAGCAGGAGGGGGTATAAGATATCGGCCACCTCGGACGGAAAACTCTTCCCAAGTTCGGCTGGTATGCCGTCTGGTCCGGCTGCCTTATGACTCTTACCAGCGGCTAGCACGCGGTGCAACAGCGTCTTTGCCGGTATGTCATTGAGGTTACAAGGGCTGGGCCACCGCATGGGAGGCTCCTGCATAGCCTCGGCGGCTATGTCATGTACCGAGACTTCGCGCCCCGCCTCCAGGCCTCCGAAGTGCTGACGCCACCTTCCGCGCGCAGCCTCGGCATCCTCACAAACCTGCCCATCAGCTTGTCGGATAACAGGCAGTGGGTCTGCCTGGTATGGCTTTTTCCGCTGGTGATTCAGTATACGGTGGACCTGTTGAAAGACATCTGCATGGGGGCAAGACGCCAGCTTATCAGCCAGGCTGCTGATGTAGGCCGCCCGGTCCTCCCGGCAGGCCCGGCGTAGGCGTTTACACTGCGTGTCTAGGGTCTGTTTGTACCACGCATCGGCCAGCGTAGCACGGCAGAACCACGCAGACTGCGAGACGATGTCGTGGAAAGATGGGCCGTTCTGGGACCAGCATCGTAGACACACCGCAAGAAGCTGCACTTCAACGTGCCCACGCAACCGGCGGAAGTCCCGACGCAGTCTGGACACCTGTTGTTGTACTGCCCACGTGTCATTAGTTATGTACACGTGCCATGGTCGGCTGCTGGGTGCAGCCTGTATAGCTGCCAGACTTTTCTGCACATGTGCCGTTACAATGGCTGCATGGGCATGCGCAGAAACACCCCATGGAACAACCGGGACATTTCGGAGAGACGTTCGCAGTGCTTCGGAATTTTGCGGGTCAACAACGCAGGATGCTCTAAACCTCCGGTCTCGGATGCTTGTGAGCCTTGCTTGGGGAAGGCCATATCGGCCTGGCAAGAGACAGTGACCGCAATATGGTCCACCACGGCATGCCCGGCATTGACAGAAGGGAGAACTCTGGACAGCGTGCTGGCTTGCTTCCACCGACAGGGTATGCCTATGTAGTCTACACGGCACTCATGGCCGTTGCGCTTCTGCACGTAGGTGGCTGAAGGACCGGAATGGCTATGTTCGAAAGATGAAGGTACCCAGCATTCAACTGCGCGCAGGAAACGATGGAACAGGGCACCGGCATCATCTTCAGTTTCAGCATCGTGGCTTCCTACATGGTTGGACTCCAGGCTGCCGATAGCGCAATTGCAATCTCCGGCAACAACCACATGGTCTTGCCTGCGGTGCTTGTATGCGAGCTGGGTAGTTTGTTGCCACCAGTCCTCTAACCTATGCGCCTCTGTTGCCCGGTGTGGGGCATGTAGTGCGATAAACAAGATGTGGAGCCCTGGACGCCCTACACGTATGAAAAGCCTGCGCACATCGGCAACGACAACGGCACAAAGGTTCGCCTCGAACTTGAGGCCTGCGGCGGAATTGGTGCCTGTAATCAGGCTTGCTCCCTCTAGGAACCACCACTCAGTGCCAAACTGGCCTCGCTCATTACCAGTGGCAAAACGTAGGTATCCTCCAACTCTGGAGAAGCCTTCACTGCCACGGGTTTCCTGCAGGGCTGCCGCAACAACATCGGCCTGCCTAAGCTGCGCCGCTAAAAGTGCAGCTCGAGCCGGACCACAAAAGAGACCCTGGCCGCTTTCAGAGGTCCTGTCTTCAGCCGTGCCCAGCGATAAGGTGTTGAAGCTGAGTATATGCAAGTGCAGCTTTTGCGCTAGCTCAGGCTTATCATCCCCTACGTGCCTTGATTCCGCTGGCGTGAGCTCCGCATGGTGCGTCTCACCACCTAGATCAGTACCGTCTGTGGGTGGTAGGTCAGGCCGCCCATCCTGCGCAGCAATGACAATGGCGACCCAGGGCAGCCAGGGCCCGCCCCGAGCAAGCCGCGCTTGTAGGTACTGCTCTCCGGCGATACTGTCGCCATTGCGGGCACCGCGCTTGGAAAGCTTGTCAGCTATCTCGTTCGCAAAATCCCCACTATGCCCAGGGACGTACTCAAATTCATCTAGGACCTTGGCATGTGCAGCGACCTGTCTTCGCAATTCCATGATGTTCCGCAGGGCCTGGGGGCACCCGCCAGCCTCGTATCGGCATGTGCCTTGTGCGACCCCGAGCGCTGCCTGACAGTCAGATACGAAGGTTATCTGGGCGCCGCGAAGGTACGCCGTCGCACATATAGGCCGGCAAAGGCAAGGGCTGCACACTCCGCAATGTATGCAGAGAGAATTGCTCCCTCTGAAAGAAGCCATGCCGGGACGGCCCCGTAGCAGCTACCGAAGCAGCCACGAGTCGGCTCGATGAGAACAAAGGCCCATCCAGCTTTAGCATTCCTTCCAGGTGCTGCGGAGTGGAACGAACCATCAGTGTAGCATAGGACTCTGCGCTCTCGGCCATGGTAATGTCGCGCACTGCACACGGATCGGAAAGCCGCCAGATCCAGATGGAGACCCGCACCCTCCTTATGCTCTGTCTGAGCCCAGGTTCGTATCTCGGGGGCGTGTTGAAGCACATTGTAGAAATCTGCAAGAGTGAAGGGCAGTTGGAATCCCCCGAAGGCGAGTTGAGCACGCGCCGATTCCGGCTCGAGCCAGGGTTCGCCTGGGTCTATTGGCGGGGGGAGGCCCCAAGGGACCGGCTGCAAAGCAGGAGCAAGCTGCTGGTGTTGCCCCTTGTGAGCGGCGGGTTCGGCTACACTCAGAGCTAGGGAGAGCCTGACAGGCTCCTCTGCATGCGGTGCGTGATCGGCAGCGAAGTGTTCAATTAGCACCTCTACCCAGGTGCTTGCCAGAAAGAACGCTTGCGAATCCTCCCGTTGCAGGCTCTCCTCAAGGAGGGTGTGCAAAATCTCAGAAAGTTCTCCCCAGAAGCTTATGGCCTCAAAAGCCTCCCGGGTGTGCCTGACATCATGCTGAATCCCATACCAAACAGGGGAGGTCCTGCCTACATTATCGCACACAGTGCGCTGCTGCGGTGGCAGTTCCTGTACAGGTGCAACAACCCGACTGCGGCACGGGGTTGGCAGAGGTCTTCCGGCACCATCGTTATCGCGGTACGCACCCTGTCTCTCTTTAGAGGCTAGATCAGCCCGGCTGAGATGCATCGTAGCGGTCGGAACGATCATTGTAGCGACTACAACTACGACAAGCAATGCCTGAAGCCCGCCATGTCCGGGGGCAGTACGACAACCGCGATGTCGGTCCCTGCAAATTGTACGTGTTCTGGCACAGCTTTCAGGGGGCTCGTAGCCAGGGTCAGGGGCTTTACGCCAGCCGCCCGGACGACCAGGGCATACGGGGAGGACAGGGGTGGAAATGTGATTGCCATCTTCGAGGCTGCATGTGTTAGGATCACAAGACCACTTGGCTACTCGACCCGTATCTCCAAGACCGTCAAAACTGTAGCCGCAACCGGCGTTGTTGGGGCTTCCCCGGGAGGGGGTTAAGCCGCGCTGGACAGAACTAGCATTCCTGCTGGGGCCCCCACCAAGGGTCGTATCGCCATCACCTCTGCCACTGACACCTGGTACCTCGCCTTGACCTACATGCGTTCTGTGCGCAGATGCTGGCTGGTAAATTGTGGCCGAGACGGTTGCCTCGTCAGTACGCTGAGGCGCAACGGGAGGTGGCACGTCTAACTTTAGCACATCGATCGCAATCCGCTCACCAGCACGGACCTGCCGGTAATGTGCATACGGAGGTGCAATCGCAGTGCCGCCGCGCATGGCAAGCGTATACCCAGCAGGGCATCTGTGCCAAAAACGCCCTAAAATCTCATAACTATTGACAAAACCATCCTTTGCTACACCCCACCAGAGACCGAGTAACAGTGGTCTTCTATCAATGAAATAAATTTGCCCAGTCTCAAGATATCCAGGAGGCCACATATCACGGAGAGCTGCTACAGAAATGTGAGCTGCAGATTGGCCTCTGTAGGAGTAGTCCCGTATTGGCGGGGAGGCGTTCTGAAAAGCAATGGCGGCATCGTGCACGCCAAGTGCATCTCGAACCCTTGCTTCTGCACCTCCTGTCAAGTCCTCCTCGCGCAGGAAAACGTTATTTTCGTCACCGAAAACCCAAGTGTCTCCTCTGCAACGGAGGTGGTCTGTCCTCGGGTCAGTCCACTCTCCGGAGTCAAGGAGCTTATCTGACAGAGACACAAGAACATGGTGGCGCTGGCCCGGCTGGCAGACTACAATTAGGTCTCCACCCTCTGGATTATAAGTCTGGTCGTCAGCAATTGGCCATGGGACGTCTTTAACAAAAACATGCAGAAAGGGTCTCTCCTCTAGCCCTGCTATGACAAGCAAAGCATCCCTGGAGAGGATCCTAGGGGCACTTATTGTGAAAATCCTGCCATTGACATCCCTGGAGTCCAGCACAATAAAAACTCCATCGACGGGCCAGGAAGGGCAGGCAACGAGGTATGCTATGCCATGATCAGGCTGTGGCTCAACCGGTATAAGGCGGGGGTGGTTAACCCATCTAGCTTCGTCCCTTGAAGCTGACACACTGGCCAGAGCGACCAGCGTCGTGGACGGAAAGGCGAGCTGGACCACACAGATTTCAGGCAAGGTGTCCGGCGTGAGCAGGGCAAAGGTTGCGGAGACACTGGCGGAGCGTCCATCAATCTCCGAACGGCCAGCGGCACGGTCCCGAACCTCAGTGCCGTCTTCAAGGTCATATTCCCCTTCAGCACTGCCGGGGTCTATAGGCGCTGAGCCTGTATCTCCGCCAGAGCCGGAGCCTCGGCTTTGCGTAACCTCTGGGCTTCTTAGGGATGCGGCATCGGTGGGGCCGCTTTCCTGGAACGGGACGTAATCAACGACATGGACTTGTCCTGGCGTAAGACCATCCCTCCCGATGACGTCAGTGTCAGGTGTGAAGCTAACATTCCACCCTCGAGGTGCATCTTGCCGGAGGGCATCAGCAGTACTGCTGCCTCCTATGTCGTTTCCGTCAACACATGCGGCCCGAAAGCCGTTGGAGATAGGACGACAATCAAGAATGATTGGGGTATGGTCCCTCCAGTGGGCCTGAAGGGGGAATCCGCGTCAATGGCCAAGACGTTGCGGCAAGGCACGCCGAGTATAGCAGCATCGCCAATGGCAGGGCATGCAGGGGTGATGCTGAATGCATTACTGGGGAGGCCTAGGTTTTCTACAATATGTTGCCGGAATCTCATCGGCCTGTTGAAGTCCTCAACGTGCAGCCTACAATAGCCTCCTACGGCCAAGCAATATGCCCTGTCTATACGTGGGACCGGGAATGGACCGCCGTCCGACCAGAAGTCCGGCTCACGCAGTATATCTGGCAAGTACCTTGCTGGTGGGGCCCGATCCTCGGCATAGCAAAAGTATAGCTGCATGCCCTCAGAAAGGTGTACATCGACCCCCTCCTGAAGCGGAACCTCCTCATCCCCGACGTAAACCGATATCCCAAAAACCTCGAGCAAGTCCGCAAGACGAAGGAGGTGGGCACGATTAGCATATATCGGTGCTTCGATGGCAAAGATCCTGCCATCGATTGGCGCGGTAATGATGCACACGATATTGCTCAGTGGGTTCCAACGTGCACCGGCAACATACACGCCGTGTCCAGGCACGGTCTGCGGCCTTACGAACTGCAAAAAGGGGTAACGCGATAACATCCAGTTGCTTCGCCTCTCCTGGATGGCCTCCTCGGTCTCAGCCAACGTGGCAGGCATAGACAGGGTAAAGGTGATGCATTCTGGCACATAATCAGGGACGAGGATTGCAAAAGAGAGGCTCACATCTCTTCCCTGTTCCGCGTTGAGGCCATCTTCCGGGTCCCCATTTAGCAGCCCAAAGTCCCCAGCCCAGCTTAGGGGAAAGAAGGGCCACCTATGTCCCAGCCGAGTGGTGGTCTCTCGGAGGGCATGCAGGGCACGTCGTCCTAAAACCGTGTTGCAGGATGGTTCACTTAGTAATTTAGACTGTCTGGTGGAATATCCCGCTCGCAATTGGCAAGCCTCGGCCTGCCTACGCTGCGACAAGAAGTGCCGCATACATAGCAGGGCGCAAACAAGAAGTAGGGCAAGGGCGATGGTGCAACACTCCACGGGTAATTCCTCCACGATATACCCATTAGCAACAAGGCTGCCATGGCTGGATGAAGCTGTGGCGCCTCGCGAGAGGAAGCCCAGGGCAGCGCAGCCTCGGAGTCCGGGGTTCACGCGGTTGCGGAGGCCTCGCCTGCGTGCACGGGGGGACCTGCTCCGTCGTGCAGTCGACGGCGGAACATCACCATTGTCAGGGGGGTGTGTAGATGGATCGGAGTGGCTGCTATCATCCCCATCAGAGCTGTCCTCGGATTCCCCTAACGGTACAGCCAGTACAGCCCTAGGTCGAGAGGCATATTCAACAACCAAAACGTCCCTATCCTGGAAAAGAATGAACTTGGCATGTTCCCTTTCGTCCTCAACGCCCCCGTGAACGTAGATATCCCCTTCATCGGGGAGTTCTGAGAGGAACTCCTGCTCAAAGGGCTCTAGCTCCAATTCGCCCTTGTCATACATCCGCCAGGCAAAACCTCTCAGGATTGGTCGCAGGTCGAGGAAGACAGTGACTGGCTTCCTGGTGAGTTTACCGGGAGGCACCGGAGCAGAAGGGAGTTGCTCAGTGGCAATCACAATCGCCTGACAGTCGTGTCCTAGCCGGCATGCGTTGAGGATTCTGGGGCTAGACGACTTGACCACAACCCTCCAGGGTTGATAGCCGAAAATATTGGACACGAAGGCAGTAAAATCATGCTCGCCATCAACCTGACGGTAATCAATTGTAACGCCTCTACAGCCACCGTCGGTCAACACCCAAAAGTGTGAGCATGCTCCACTGTGCAGGCTAGAGGCACGGTCGTCCCAGCCTTCGTTGGTCTGCAGCATGGCTGCAAGGTCATAGATCTCCTGTGCTTCATTTCCTGCAACTGCGACAGTTACAAGATTCCCGGTGGCCACCTGCACCGGGCGGCCTGGTGTAAGCCGGACGCCATTGCGGAAGACTTCTGCATCATCCCAGAAGATGCCAACTTGTGCAAGAAAAGAGCTCCATTGTGTCCAGTGATCTGCTAGATGAGCAAAGAGTCGGCCATCAATGCTTCTGCAGTCTACAAGCACACAGGCCTTGGGGAAAGGCCATGGAGGGATGCAGAGAAAGGCACCGAAGCCAGGGCAGGGCTGTGCGCGAACCACAACCATCCGTCCGAAGTAATCACTAAGAAAATCACTTCTGACAGCACGCAGCCTACCCTCGATATGATCTATGGTGGTGGGAAGACCGGCTGTGACAGGTAGGGTCTCGGCGGAGCAGCTCAGCGCAAAAAGAGCAAACCACAATCTTGGCTCATCATCTTCGCACATGCTCCCCTGTGCGACATCAGCATCTCGGTGAGCATCATTGTCCGCCTCGTCAGAGGCTTCGTGGTCCGTGTCCGGAACTTCTGACCGGTCGTCATTCTCTGTGCTTTCGACAGTTCCGCCATCTGGCTGGCCACCGTCACCCTCCACATTAGGGGAACCAGGGTGACTGATTGCCTGCACCGGAGGGGCCGTAACAGCTTTAACGATGCGGAAGACAAGCACAGACCCCTCTGCAACCAGGACGGAAGTATCGCCATATGGCATCCCCTCAATCACCGGGACGAAACCCTCGGGGACCTTGATCCCGAGGTATCGATATAAATGATGAGCGTCCCTCTTTAGATCCCCTCCGAAAAGAAAGGACACACCACGCCCTGCACGCCTGGCGTCAAGAAAGGTGAAAGCTCCAAAGGCTGGGCCTGGCGGCAGACTTTCCGATCTGTTGGCCACAGCGAAAACACCCCATACTGGTCGGCCTCTGAAGAGCAAATCGTCGAAATGTCCTGTAGCCGGTTCCCCAAAGGACATATGAGGGATGGCTCTGAGCTTATAGTCAGCAACAGCCTTGTGCAAAGCATCAGTGTCACCTTCCTGACAGTTGAAGAGGCGGCAGCCTTCATCGAAAACCCCTAGATAGGCAGTACTAGGGGGTTCGGGAGGTCGCAGGGGTTCTGCTCGCTTGCATAGGCTTGGGATCCTATCACTAGAGTGAGCGTACCACACCGGTACGGAGCCGTGCGGGACAAACTTAAACACTTGGCCTGTGCTGACCCAGAAAGTTTTGGAGTCATCCAGTGGTTCAGCTTGCGTGCAGGTAAATACCTGCCAAGGCCGGTCTGTGTGGACAGCAGCTATACCCTCAAGCTGGCTGTAATACATGTAGGACCACACGAAATCACTGAAGATAGGCCCATGCAGAGCGCTGAAGTCATAGACAACCACTTCGTTCAGGGACGGGCCAACCCACTCCGGAAGGACAACGCATGTAATGAAATCCCCAAAAGGCTGAGGCTGCAGCAAGACTATATCAACGCCGTACTCAGTATCTGGGATCTTCTGCCGTATATCAGAAACAACATCATGCGGATAATCCTGATAACACGGTAAAGTAAGCCAGATGGGGCGGAAGCCGGGCATCAGCGCGTAAACCCTAACGGCTGGCATGGGGCATTCCTCACCTGTAGCCTCATAGATTGCCTCTGACTGGGTCTGTGCCACTATCAGCGAAGTAGGGGTACCTGCCTTACTGCCAAGGTAGCCATCGGGGCGTATCCCATCACAAGGGATAGGCTCCGGCCGGATTTCAGAAAAGAAAACCCCTGCCCTATCAATTTCCCTTATATCTTCCGGCGCAGCCCAAACACAAACAGGTAAATGCGACACCCCGAACAGAGCAATCCAAACCCAGTCGGGGAGAGCGAAGCAGCGGCGTCTGGGGCGAGATCTGCTGCGGGCAGGAGCGTCCTTGCGTCGAGGAGGCCCCCAATCCAAAACTGGTATTTGCGTGACACCATGGGAGCCAACGCTGCCTGTGGCTCGGATTATCGCTTGGAGAGGAGCCCACTTGAGCAGGGCAAGGCGCTTGCGGGGCGTACGCCCTAGGGCGGCCCAAATCGAGAGCCACAATGTGATGTGGACGGCAACAAGCAGACTCCTAAAAAAGGGGAGCAGCAGATCGAAGGCCACAAAAAGCAACCATCTGCACAAGGGGACCCTGAAACGTCCAAGAGCATCTTGACCGCCTACTGCCTGTGTCCCAGAGCCACCGATACACATGTTTGGCGCTAGTAGGGGTGATGCAAAAGGCCCAAAAGGGGCGGTAGGCAACCCGTCACGGGCGCCGGCAAAAGCTAAAGCATGGCGGGGGCCTGGACATAAATCCCAGGCCGAGGATGACAGCGCAACAGCTGGAAGTGGACGTATGGCGGATAAGGGGCGAGGTGTGAAGTCCAATACCCACTGCTGACGGTACATGTCCACTCTGGGGATCACGCTATACAAAATGTACAGTAAAGCAAAATCTGTACAATGTGAACCCAGAAACCTCCAAACTTCACGTGGGGAAGGGAACCAGCCACAAGCCAACCCGATCAGCAACGTGGGAAGCGACTGAGCATGCTCAGTCAAAATCCCAGGGCTGTCCAGGAGGCCGCAGCTTATTTCCACCTCCATATAAAGTGGAGGTTTCCGATCTTTGCACGCTACTCCATGTGGGTCAGTCCTGGCGAAGCCATGCGAAGAGAATCGTCCCCATCGTCCTCGATGAGGTGCGGCCTGGCGGCCTGTGGTGGCCCAGGGTCTTCCGGTGTAGGGCGACTCGTCATGCCCGAATCGCTCGGGCAGACCTTGAACGGATGTAGGGCGGAGCACCTTTCTTCCCTCTTTGCCGCCAACTTGTCTGCCAATCCCGTTCCAGCAGACTCTGTAGCAGCGTTTGGTAATGCGCCCACGTTCGGATCCGGTGCCGCCCCCAAGGCAGCGGAGATAGTACCTCCATCTGCAGGAAGTCCAGGAGGTCGAGCTGGCGGCGGAGTCATCGGCATAGCTGTCGTTCCCCGTTGTGGTGTAACCACGGGAGTCGATGGCGGCCTCGGTGTCGCGCCACTCATCGCCACCGCCTCGTTCGGTCCCGTGCGGTGCAAGGCCACATTGATTGGGCCGCCAGGGCCGAAAGTCGGACTGGCCAAGTACGGATCTGTAGATGCACCGAGGGGCGAAGCATGATTGTAGGGTGGCATTCCGCTGCCGCCGGTCATAGGCAGCCCACGGCCGCCGCCAGCATCGGTTGCCACAACTGCAGTCGCGGGAGGTCCCGACTGAAGTCGCTGCGCTGCGGAATAAGCTTCTTGCAGGAAGCCAGAGGGAACCGTAGACGCCTCCTCCTCCTGCATGAGGCGGTCCCACTCGTCGTCCTCTGTCTCCATCGCCACCTCCTGCTGACGTACGGCTTCCACGCCCTGTAGTACGATGGCTTTCATCCTCTCGGCAGCCTCGTGTCCAGCTGCCGTTGCTTGTTGGATCTCGTGCTCCAACTTCGAGATGTCGTCCCCAAACTGTCGCTTCTGGCGGACAAAGTTCTGCTTCTGCTCGACGATGAACTTCTCCCATTGCTGTTTCCGGACGTCCACTTCGGAACGGAGCCTGCGGATTTTCGCATCGGCTTTCCTTGCAATGGTGAGGGCTCGCTGTACCGCCTGAGTTTGGGACAGGGCCTCCTGGCCTCCAGCTGACACATCCTGCCACGGCGGGGTGCCTTCCGGCTTGCCCCTTGCGCCCTTCCCACCTAACTGCACACGGTCGTACCTTGGCTGCTGCGACTGGGGTTGTGATCTCGGAGACACAGACCATGACCCCCGCCAATACATATCTCCATGCCATGGCTGCGAGTTGTTGTTCCTCTTGCCTCCCATATCACACCGATATGTAGGCTTAGAGTGATGTGCTTCCAGCAGCCGAACGTCCTTTGGACGTAAGTTGTAGCCTCGGAGTCGGCGAAGACGGATCTTCTTGCGCAGCTTCGCCCGCTTAGCACGAAAGTGCCGGTGCCAAGGAGGGCTTCCGGGGGGAATAGCTCACAGCTACGTGCTACGGCACGGTTGGGGCCTACAGCAATCCTTCCACAGAAGGTGGATCTGAGCCCTCCAAGTACTAGTATAGTATATACTTTGAGGGTTCCTTATTATTTTTATAGTATAATATGCCCCAAACCCTTTTCTTATTACAGTATTAAGGCCTTACATTATTGGGGGCCCAAATACCTACTAAGCACCCACCCTAAACCCTAAACCCTAAACCCTAAGCCCTAAGCCCTAAACCCTAAACCCTAAACCCTAAACCCTAAACCCTAAACCCTAAACCCTAAACCCAAATACCTACTAAGTACCCAGTATAATGGTACTTGGACCCTTTGGGAGCCATGGGCTTCGGCTTGGTTTTCCGGGATTGATACCTTAAAAAATTATGATAGGAACCCTAATATGATTTAAGGTATATTCCTTACTTAAGGGGTTTTGGAGTCTTTGGGGGTTTCGGTTTAGGGTTTAGGGTTTAGGGTTTAGGGTTTAGGGTTTAGGGTTTAGGGTTTAGGGTTGAGGTTTGCAGGTCCTTGCCTTGGCTTTCAGAACCTCGGATCAGGGTCCCCGGCTTTAAGATTGCGGGGTTTGGTACGCCTTAGGGTTCCCTAACCTCCCAGGTACCTACTATATAGGGCACTAGAGCCCCTAATTAGGGCCCTATATAGTAGGCACCTGGGGCGGTTAGGGTTTTTTTTTCAGTTTAGGGCTTCCAAGGGATGATTGACCCTTGTGTTCTCGCATGTTCGAGAACGAAAACCCCGGTTCCGCGGTCTCCGGGTCCTGCGCTCCCCTGATCCTCTGTTTTCTTGGGCCTCTGGGTATGCTGAACCGGAATTGCAAATTGGTTTCAGTTGTTTGTGTTGTTTGCTGTGTGCTAAATCTCAATTGGTTTTTGCCAAATGAGGGTGTGTGTGTGTGTGTGTAGGATATATGATGACCCGGAATCGCCAAATGAGGGGGCGTGTTTAAGACATATGCATGATGAACCGAAATTGCCAAATGAGAGGGCATTTTAAGATGTATGATGAACTGAAATCGCCAAATGATGGGGCGTGAATCGCCAACTGAGGGGGCAGCCAAATGACGGTCGTCGCTATCTTCGATCTGCGCGAGATCCAGCCTCCTGGGTCACAGACCGGCAGGAAGTCGGTCATGAAGCTTTGCACCTCGCATCTTGGAAGTGTTCGACGATGATGTCAATGGCGCCGGAACTCAGACCATGCCCTCGCAGCATATTTCTCCGATGCTCCATCCTCATCAACCAGCGTATGAGAGTGAACTCTAATCCCTAAACCCTAAGTATGTCTTCTGCCGTAGCCTAAAGCCACTCCCCCGCCCCAAAACCCACCCCGGTTTAGGGTTTAGGGTTCAGGGTTTAGGGTTTAAGGAACCGGAAGTCCGAAATTCTGAAGCCGACACGACTCAAACCCTAGAGATGATTCACCCCCCCCCCCCAAGCAAAGCTAATCGGTTTTGTGCCATATTCGTATAGGGACGACAGAGGAATATTCCTGTACTATGTCGACCTCTACATCAACTAACCCGATGATCTGAATAGAGCTTGGAGCACATATTGACCAATCTATCAGGAAATGATCTCACCACATGTTCCGACGTCTTACCAGTGCGTTGTTAACTCATCGGCGCTCTCACCTCTTCGACTCTAGCCGTGTGGCGGGGCTCGAAGTCTAATATGGAGTCGCGTCTCTCCCTTTGGCAGGTTACGCCGTTACGATCTACGGGTTAGGGGCTTAGGAGAGCTCGGGTTAGCCGGCCTAAACCCAAGGAAAAACCCAGAGCCATAACCCGCAGGACTATCTGGAGATTCATGGCTCATACGCCTCGACAGGGAATCCTTTTGAGTCAGGGCTCAGGTTGGAGGGTTGAGCTGAGAGTCCTGGGTTTTTGCAACCGAACCCTATACGCCACGCCCCAAACTCTAAACAGCATTTCGGACTTCGATATGTCGGCAAATGTGAGTTCCAGTTACACCTGCAAGTGTTCAGAAAGCGCGATCTGCCAGCGAATTTGCTAGGCGCAACTCTCTCACTAAATAGGGATCATGGGGATGGCAATCACAAGGCCAGCAATTCAAGGCAATGTAGTATTAAGCACACGGCTTCATAAGCCCCATGCAAAGCCTTGTATAGGATGAAAGCGAGAACCTGACTGAATTACTGAAACTTCGGCCTCGTCGTAGGCCAAGTCGCTGCCAATCACAACCTGTCTCGTGCTCGAGGGTTTAGGGTTTGGGGGTTTAACTTTCAGGCTTGGGGTTTGGGATTTAGGATTACCGATTTAGCATTTGAGCATTTAGGGCATTCTTCCCACGCCGACCTCTGAACCAAGAAAATTGAAGTAGGCTTGGGCATTGCTGCTCTTGTCCGGCTTAGCGCAGCCCGAGAAATCTGCACAACAAGTAAGATACGGAAACACGTCAAGACAACAACCAAGAACCCATAACCTAATCTCGAAGTCTTTCAACACACACCAGACCAAACAAATGAGCTTTTCGTAGCCTTAGAATAACCTTATTCTACCCGTATAGCAAGCTTGCAGCAACCTTTATGGCACCCTTGTAGACCCCTTTTACTTCTTTAGCACTCTCCTGCAAGGCGTCAGCCTCCATTGCCCGCATGTTCTTTTTCTTTGTTCCGACCTTATCTGGGGCTTCGCCCGCCTTACACAGCCACAAGTCCGCCCCCGCCTCTCTTGGGCCTTTGCCAGCACTGTGAGCACTAGTCTGAAGACACCCAACAGCTCTGAAACCCCAAGTCCCTGAACCCTAAACCCCTCCAACCCTCAACATCCACATGGCAAGCTCTGAATTCAAAGCCCGATATTTCCCAAACAGTTGCGAATCCTTTTAGCGCCGCCCCTTGCTGAACCTTCAGTCCTAATTAGGCCGACAAGCGATGCGAAGCTCGATAGCCTAAAGCACAAAGACTACACCCACAAGCACGAAGCCCTCAGAATGTAGGCCGGAACCCATATAGTACCCCTTGTAGTACCCTTTTACTACCCATGTGAAACTCTTATAGTACCCCTCAGAGTACCCTTAGAACATATGAAACCCTTATAGTAACCCCCTACATACCTATCATTGACCCTCTCGCTGTAAGCCCTCAACCCCCAGCTGCCTTTGCCGCACCCAGAGCTGATAGGTCGGGTCTGGACCAATCCAGCGCCTGCACCTTGCTTCCGAAGCTTCCCCAATATAGAGGCCTAAACAATTACCTATACTATTTTGGGGGATCCTTATTATATTTATAGTATAATATGCCCCAAACCCTTTTCTTATTATTAAGGCCTTACATTATCTTCCCACGTTTAAGGTTGAGAGTTCTTGAGGGGATCTATCGGGCTTGTGAGATTGAGTGTTTAACCCTAAACCCTAAACCCAAAATCTTTACGGTCTACGGCGAACTAACGGTCGGCATACCCGCCTAGAGGATCAATGCATCAACAGGGTTTTGGCTTATAAGCTTGCTGCAAACCTAAAACAAACCACGTTCGGATCGGAAATGGCTCGGGCTGTGCTTCTGTGGCAGAAATGCTGCGGGTGGGCGAAGCCGAGGATTGAACTTGCACCCCACACCCGAAACAAAACCAAAACAGTTACATGTACTGCATCTTGTCGAGATCCCTACAGAAGTAGACCTACAACGGTAAAGGAAGCGACAAAAACACAGTGAAGCAACCATTCGCCTTCTAAAGCTTAGAGCTTTTGGTCAGGCTAAACCGTAAACTCTACAACCGGAGGCCCAACCCCCAGGCCCTAAAGTCTAAACCGGCTGCCCGGGCACATCTGCGCGGAAGTCTCCAGCAGTCTCGGTTCAATGTCAGCAGGGTTTAGGGGATTTAGGCGGAGTTCGGGTATCAGCGCTTAGGCTTTAGGTCTCAAGGTGCTTGATGGGCTTCGTGTTTTCTGGTTCGGTTTCTATTTAAGGGTGTTTAGGGTGTAAGTGTTTCGGGTTTAGGTTGTTGGAGATCTTTGGGTTTAGAGCTTACTTGGTTGAATTGTGTGTCAGGCGTTTCGGCTTCATATGCAGGGTCTAGGGTTTATAAGATTTTTGAAGTTCCAGGGAACATCAGTCTCGAGCTGCTCGACTCCTTAGCGTCTGGCTACCTGTCTACCCCGAGCACGGCTTAAACTCGGGTGTGCGTGCGCATTGGGTTGAGGCTTTGCTGCAGGGATTAGGCAGCAGTTTGAGAACTGGGCGCTAAACCCTAAACCCTAAACCGATGTAACCTACTGGTAGCGAGGCTTGGGTTCTGCGGCCTCGGTTTTTGAGGGGTTAGTCTTTCCTGGTTTTTGCTTCCACAGCCCCTACTTTTCAATTCCTAAACCCTGAGCCATATAAGATTCAAGACCGAAACTCTCAACCGGAAGTTGCAGACCCTAAGACCTCAAAGCTTATAAACCAAAAAGCAGCAACAACAACAACAACAAGCGATTTAAAGGATGACAGGCAGGGCTGCACAGCAAAGGTGCAGAAACAAACACGCACATAATCAGGGATGTTCTATAGCTACATATACGAAAGTGCGTATGTGTGCATGTATGTATGTATGTATGTATGGATGGATGGATGGATGGATGGATGGATGGATGGATGTATATACGTATGTATGCATGTATGTATGTTTGTGTATGTGTAAACCAAACATATATGCATAGGTATGCATGTATATATGTGTATTCTACACGTATAGAATATGTGTGTGTGTACATGTATATATATATATATATGCATATGCATATACATATGCATATGCATATGCATGCAAAGTGTACATACACACAGAGATGGACAGACAGATAGATAGATAGATAGATAGATAGATAGATAGATAGACAGATAGATAGATAGATAGATAGATGATAAATCGCTAGATAGAACGACAGATAGATAAGTTGATAGATAGATTGATAGATAGATCGATCGATAGATCGATCGATAGGTAGACCGATAGATAGATAGATAGAT